TTGGGCCATCCTCCACTGCTCTCCCAGGCTACAGCAGAGAGCTGGACTGGAAGAGGAGCAACCGGGATTAGAACCCAGCACCCATATGGGATGCTGGTGCCGCAGGCAGAGGATTAACCAAGTGAGCCATGGCGCCAGCCTCTGAAGGAGATTTTTTGTTATCACATATTCTCTTATGCCTTTTGCATTTTTTATCACGTGAATGTATGTAGCCTTAAAGTTCAGTTGAGCTGGGTGCAATTGTTGTGGCACAGGCAGTTAGGTCAGTGCTTACTATACCAGCATCCCACGGTGGAGTGCTGGTTCAAGTCCTAACTGCTCTGCTTCTGACCCAGCTTCCTGCTAATGCACCTGGGAAAGCAGCCGATGACGGCCTAAGTACCTGGGTCCCTTCCACCCACATGGGAGACCCAGCTGGAGTCCCTAGTGCTCATCTCAGGGATTGGTGCGTTTGACAAATGAGCAGATGACTGTTGCAGTCATTTGGGGACAGAACCAGTTGATGGAAGATCTCTCCATCTCTCTGAGATATGGAATACTGTCATCTTAACCACAAAGTCAATGTCTGCCCTTACTTTTCTTCATATTTAAAGATCTGTTTCCTGAATGGTTCAATTCATTAACAATGCTAAAAAAGCAATCTTTCAAAAAAATTTTCACAACAATCTGAAGTTGGAAGTGTAAACAAGTATTTATCTGATACATATAATAGAATGTGCTAGTTTAAGTAGTAACTCTGAGGTCAACTACACAGATAGAGCAGTTCTTGTTCCCACTCCAATTTTAATGAGCCAATCTGAGGCATCCATGAGAGAGCATTAACCCTACTCTCATCCCACACAAATAGCCTAGCAAAACAGACAATTAAAGTCAAGGTCAGCAGTGAGTGATCAATTACTAGTAAGACAAACAAAGTGAAAGAAAGGAAGATTATGACTGGGAAGAGACTGCGAAAGCTGAAAGAAAGAAGACAAATTAGAAAGGTCTTCCGAGATTCCATATCAGCTGAGTTCAGAGTTCTTTATCTGTGTTTACAAGTATATTCAGGTGGGGGTGCTGTGGCGCAGTGGGTTAAAGCCCTGGCCTGAAGTGCCAGCATCCCATATGGGCGACAGTTCTAGCACCAGCTGCTCCACATCCAACCCAGCTCTCTGCTGTGGCCCGGGAAAGCAGCAGAAGATGGCTCAAGTGCTTGGGCCCCTGCACCCATGTGGGAGACCCAGAAGAAGCTCCTGGCTCCTGGCTTCAGATTGGCGCAGCTCCCGGCCGTTACGGTCATCTGGGGAGTGAACCAGCAGATGGAAAGACCTCTCTCTCTGTCTTCTACTTCCTGTAACCTCTTTTTAAATAAATAAAACAAATCTTTTAAAAAAAATACAAAACATGTATACTTGGGGAACCAATATTAGAATGGGTGGAGTGAAATAGAGGACCTCCTTTTCTTCCAGCAAGAACTAAAGCCTCTTTAAAAAGTCACTGGTCTGGGAGGCCTGGGCCCATGTATTGAAATTGGGATGAAGGCCGCCCGCCTTG